GCAGGGCTGCCTGCAGCCATGGTCTTGGCGGCAAGGATGACGGGACAGCTTTTGTTTTCCGCCCCGGGGTTGGTCTTGCCCACTGGCTGCTCCCCTTCCTGCAGGTGTCTCGGGGCCCCCTCCCCGGGGGAGGTGAAAGCGAGGGGCAGAGTTTTGCCGCTGAGATGCGCCAGGTTTTCTCCGGGTTGCGAGCACCGCCGGGCAAAACGCTGCGCTCGGCAGCTGCAGAGGGGAAAGGAGAACGTCCCTTTCCCCCGGGGGCCGTCCCAACCCCCCGGGGTGGGTTGAAAAGAGATGAAATGGAAAACAAACACCCTTCATCATCTGCCTGCGGCTCCCGTGTGACGCCCCCCTCCCCAAGAAATACCCAGGCAAAGGGAGGGGTAGCCCCTGCCCCAAGCCTCCCCGTGGGGTCCAGCACCCGGAAGCCACCGGGGTTTCATTGCTCGTGAATAAACGCGCTTTTAATTTATTAATCAAAGGGCACAGCCACCAGGAGAGAGCTCAACGCAGGTCCCCCACCGTGGATAGGTTCTCCCTTCCTCAGGTCAAAGCACCGAGGCGCATTCTTCGCTGCTCATTTCACCCCTTTAATATCGATCACGCCCGACTGCCGCCATCGCCCCCATCCCGCCAAGCGCTTCCGCCTGCACCCGCGCAGCTATAAATACTTTAATTGTTGCTTTCGATTCCCCTTTTGAACACGAAGCCGTTGCTCTCACGGCGCAGGGCCGAGCCTGGGGTCAAGAAGCAGCCAATCACCACCCACCCTCTTATCTTTTATTTTCCTTTTCCTCCCACTTTGCCTAAAATTAAGGAAGGGAGGGGATTTTCTTCCACCCTGGAAATGAAATCATGCCACAACCGGCCCTACCCCTCACTCCACCCACCCAGAAACAAGTTCTCCTTCACTCAAGATCCCACTGCGCTGCAGGGAAGCTTCCCTCAGCCCTCAGCCCCCATGGTTTTTTTTTTGGGGGGGGGGGGGGGTGCAGGAAAAAAGGTGATATTTCAAGAATGACCTTCCAGCGATGGAAATCTGCCCTCCCATGGCTGATTTTTGGTTTACAACTTGGCTCCAGCTGCACCGACCTTGTATGGTCGGGTTGGGCACCTGCCTGCCTAAACGCCCCTGCTTTTCATCCCTGGTTTTCCTGCAAAGGTCCCGTTCCCGCCCTTGCCCCCTCCTTGGGCTGTAGCAACGAGCCCCCAAATCCACCAAGACCTCAACCCAAATCGGGTTTCATAACAGCAACAGAGCAAACGTCATTGTCTTCTCCTCCCCGCCACCCCTCTGCAGCTCTCCTGGAGGGACAGCAACACCGTTGACCTTCCTCTTGGCCAAGAAACCCCTAAATCCCTCAACCCCGTGGACCCATAGCTTGTGGAGGAGCTGCTCTGTGCCCGAAGGCCTTTGCATGCCAAAGCCAACGGGGTTGATTTGCACCGGACTGAGGCTGGGTAACGATGCGACACATTTTCCTGGTAGAACAGCAGTCAATAACGCATCCGCCGTTATTTGTTTGCAAGTGGTTTTTTCGGGGGGGGGTGATGATTTTCCGGCGCACAGACGAGGACTCAGACTGAAACCTGTGGTATGGTTTCATACTCAGGGCTTTTTTTTGTTGTCATTTTTTTGGTTAATCCGCAGTTAAGGGTTGATTTAGCGGGGAATGAGATGTGCAGAGAGACTGGCGTTGGGGTGGATACCTGCTTGACTTTAACTTTGCGTGTAGGCCGTTGCTTTCTCTCCTGCTCTTCCTCCTCCTGCTGCTGTCCCACAGCTGCTGGCAGCATCATCACCTCCGCCATACGCCAAAAGCCACGTTTCCTCCCCAATTACTGTCACAGGAGCAGAGGAGTCTCTCACCGGCAGCAGCTTTGCTCTTGACTGGGCCTCTTTTGGGCTTGACCTGCCTGGAGAAACATCTTGGCTTCTCCAAACGCAGCGATTTTGCCAAGCCCTGGGGGGCACTGATGAACACTAACGACCCTAAGCAGCCCCACTTGGGACCCCCCCACCTCCTGCCCATGGCCTAGGGGCTCTATTTAAGCTCAGTCCTGGGGTGGAAGGTTTTTTGCACGCTGCCTTGGAGGAGACCCATCCATGGCTGCGGGCTCTGCTGATCCATCCCTTCGTGATTCATCTCTGTGGTGCCCTCGGTTAAGAGAATTTTACCCCCTGAGAAAATTCGGCAGAGGTTTGTCGCTCCCTCTGCCAAGATGGAGAAAATATGGGGGGGGTGCCCAATGCCATACTTGGTGTGAGGGAGATGGGGGTGAGGGATGCATAGGCTAAGGGGGAGACTAAAAAGTGGGCAAAGCGTTGCTTGCCATCCCTAGATGATGCTGAGCGTGGTCTTAAATAGCCACAAGCCCTAGAGAAGGGATCCATGGGGCACTCAGGCATCTCCATCTCCCTCAAGACCAAACCCAAACCTTAGGGCAAAACTCGCTGAAGGCTGGATTTGGTTTTGTGGGTAACCTGGGAGCAATTCCTTCCCCTTGGGGCTGTCAGGCGCTGGAAGGGGCTGCCCAGGGAAGGGGTCAAGTCCCCACCCCTGGGGCGATTTAACAGCCGGGCAGAGGCGGTGCTGAGGGCTGGCTTTTGGGGGTGGGATGGCAGGGGTAGGGGAAGGGTTGGGCTGGGGGAGCTTCAAGGGCTTCTCCAACCCCAACGCTTCCCTGATTCAGCTCCTAAAGGTGTCTTTGGTACATTCTTTTTTTCACAACTAAAGCCTCGCCGATGGAGTAAACCGGGTTGGGCAGGGGCCAGATTAAAAATAATGACGCTCCTCCCCAAACGAGCCCTTAATTGGCTGTGCAGGACTATGAGCGAGCGTGGTCTCAAGAGGGAGCTGGAGGCTCTGTTTTGAAGACGAAGGTGACGTTTGCTCAATGCCTCCGCGCAAGAGCAAAAAGAAAAATTCATAATTCAAGGGGTTTTTTGGGGCGATTCTGCTTAATTGTTTCAAGGCATAGACAGGGTGCTGGGGGGGAGCAACCGCGACCAGCGGGCGCAAACCCCCCTGCCTCAGCGTTCTCCTTTGTTTGCAAGGTGTGGTGGTTTTGCTACTGCCTCCTTTTCCCATGGTTTCAGGGTTAAATTTAAATATTGACCGGGGGAAAGGGGTGCTTTTTCCTGCAGATCTTCGAGGGAACCTTTCGGGTGGAAAAATAGGTCTGCTGGGAAAGGAATTACTTAATTTTTTTCAGTCTGGTCGAGGCCTGGCTCTGCAGAGGGGGAGCAGGCAGGAGGCTGATGGCCAAAGCTACAAATGGATCAGTTCAAATGCTAAAGAGGTCCAAAGCCCCCTCCCCCACCTTGTTGCAGACAAGGTTTTTCCAGAGGGGTGTAAGGACAAAGTGTTGGGGAGCAAGGGGGAGGGGGGTGGTGTGACATTGGCTCTTGGCTGGGGCATCCAGCCCCCTTTTGGGCTGGTAATGGGATCCCCTGGGGAGCTGGCATCTCTCAGTACCTGGAGATAAACCAGGCTCTTAAGACAGGACTCGGGAATTGATCCTGGTTTGCAATGCAGAAGATGAGAGCAGTTTAAGGCC